ACCAGAATAACTTTATTTTATTTATTAACTTGTGTTGCAACAGATTTAAATGGGTGCTATGTTTCTGTAAATCTTTCATTATTAATGATGATAACAACTCAACCATGTCGCCAGGATAGAGCCAGTCCAGCCAACACAACTGTGCATTCTGAACAGTCTCTATACAGTTGACTAGTTTAAAACTGAAAACTAGAAATAAGTTGTTGAAAGTTAAAGCATTGCAAGTCAAAATCCCCTAAACATCCACTAAAACTACAAATGAATTGTTCAAAGTTAAAACAATATAAGTCCAAATCGCCTATATCTACCATTGAATTGCTCAAAGTTAAAGCAATGCAAGCCAAAATCCCGTAAGTACAAATGAGTTGTTCAAAGTTAAGCAATGCGACTCAAAATCCACTAAAACTAGAAATGAATTGTTCAAAGTTAAACCAATGCAAGCCAAAATCGCCTAAATCTACAAATGAATTGTTCAAAGTGAAACCAATTCAAGTCCAAATCGCCTAAATCCACAAATGCCTTGTTCAAAGTGAAACCAATGCTAGTCCAAATCACCTTAAACTACAAATGAATTTTCAGAGTTAAAACATTGCAAGTCGAAATCCTCTAAAACTACAAATGAGTTGTTCAAGGTAAAAACAGTGCATGTCAAAATCGCCTAAATAGTATATTAGAAATGAATTGTTCAAAGTTAAACAATGCAAGTCAAAAAATAACCCTAAAACTATGAAAGACTTGTTCCAAGTAAAAGATCTGCAGGCCGAAATCCTTTAAAACTTGAAATGAATTGTTCAAAGCTTAACAATGTAAGTCAAAATCCATTAAAACTAGAAATGAATTGTTCAAAGTTAAACCAATCGAGTTCAAATCTCCTAAATCTACACATGAATTGTTCAAAGTGAAACCAAAGCAATTCGTAATCGCCTAAATCTACAAATGAATTGTTCAAACTTAATCCAATGCAAGTCCTAATCGCCTTAATCCACAAATGAATTTGAAAGTCGGAATCGCCTAAATTTACAAATGAATTGTTCAAAGTTAAACCAATGCTATTCGTAATCGCCTAAATCTACAAATGAATTGTTCAAAGTTAAACAAATGCAATTCTAAATGGCCGTATTGTTCAAAATTAAAGCAATGCAAACCCAAATCCTCTACAACTACAAATGAGTTGTTTAAAGTTAAAGCAATGCAAGTCAAAATCCCCTCAAACTAGAAATGATTTGTTCAAAGTTAAGGAAGAAGAAGAAGAAGAATGATTTTATTTTCAACTTGTACACAACATATGGTACATCGTTGTACAATATACATTTACAAAATACATGGCATATGGTCACTATGATTGACAATGTTAACATTCTGTATCAGCAATCAATAATGTTTAAGTAAAGTTTATATCTATTAAAGATTAAATAAGTATGTGTATGTTCTTAAGACATTACCTTAGAAAATATGTACTTAAGTATTCATCTTAGAAAAAGAAAAGTAAAATTTGAAAATTAACTTAAGTAAAGTGAACAAATACTTTCAGATTTAATTTCACAGAGAAAAAACACGCTACTCGACTCAAATCACGTGACCAAACACCAAGGCCAAAGTAAAGGCATTGTAAGTACAAATCCCCAAAATCTACAAATGAATTGTTCCAACTTAAGAGTAATTCCAGTCAAAATCCTCTAAAACTACAAATATATTGTTCAAAGTTAAAGCATTGCAAGTCAAAATCCCGTCAAACTAGAACTGAAGTGTTCAAAGTTAAAGCATTGCAAGTCAAATTCCTCTAAAACTACAAATGAGTTGTTCAAAGTTAAAGCAATGCAAGTAAAAATCCCGTCAAATTACAAATGAGTGGTTCAAAGTTAAAGCAATGCAAGCCAAAAACCCCTCAAACTAGAAATGGGTTGTTCAAAGGTAAAGCATTGGAAGCCAAAACACCTTAAAACTAGAAATGAGTTGTTCAAGTTAAAGCATTGCAAGTCAAAATCCTCTAAAACTACAAATGAGTGGTTCAAAGTTAAAGCAATGCAAGTCAAAATCCCCTCAAGCTAGAAATGAGTTGTTCAAAGTTAAAGCATTGCAAGTCTGAATCCTCTAAAACTACAAATGAGTGGTTCAAAGTTAAAGCAATGCAAGTCAAAATCCCCTCAAGCTAGAAATGAGTTGTTCAAAGTTAAAGCATTGCAAGTCTTAATCCTCTAAAACTACAAATGAGTGGTTCAAAGTTTAAGCAATGCAAGCCAAAACCCCTCAAACTAAAAATGAGTTGTTGAAAGTTAAAGCAATGCAAGCCAAAACCCCTTAAAACTGCAAATGAATTGTTCAAAGGTAAAACAATGTTAGCCAAACTCACCTAAATTAGAAATGAATTGTTAAAGCATTGTAAGTCAAAATAGCCTAAATTTGCAAATGAATTCCCAAAAGTTAAAGCAATGCAAGCCAAAATCTCTTAAAACTATAAATAAATTGTTTCAAGTCAAAGCTAGATAAATTATAAAGAAATATATATTTAAAACAGATAAATACTCGCCGGAATATTTAACATAAACTGAAGTTTTTCAAATAAGATATATAAAACAATCGTGCATTTTGAGTATTAATTTGTGCAACAGTTCAGTCAGAAAATTCTTTTCTTTGTGCCAAATTTTATGTCAATAGGGGATTAAAAAAGGCATAAAAACTAAAATAGTCGTAAAACAAATTTCGCTTGAAAAACAAATTGCCTGGAAATGCCTTATTATTCCCATAGTCCCATCAAATTCCATGGGACTGTCGTAGAATCAGTTTCTCAACAATCGTTAGCAGCAGAAATTTTCTAGGACTTGCAAATATCTAATTCAATAAGACTGTTATTGTAATTAGCTATTATCCGAAATTTGTTATTATCCGAAGTTTAATCACTCTTTAGATGCCGACAAAATGGTGTTTTTCTCTCTATTGCGTTTAGCCATATCAAATTATCGGGAACATGGTTATTGTAAAACGGTAGCTTAAGCTAATTAGTCCTGGCAGAGAGAATTTTATTCGACTATCACCGGCGGTCTCATCGGGACAAGGAGACAAATAAATACCATTTTAATGCCAAGAATAAACATACATCATCGATAATCTTCCCGAGAAATGGACCCTGAAATTCCTGTAAACCAGTCAGAGGTTTTACAATAAAGCGTCTATATGACCAATATGATGTTGAAGTTTTCGGTGTGTTTTTTTTTTCTTTCTTTCTTTATGAAGAATGTAATTTTGATAAATTTTATAGTTCATTGTTAACAGAATATAGGACATTAATATAGGACATTACAATATCTGATACGTTTCTTTTTGCGATAAAATTAAACAATTGTATTTTTACCTTTCCTACTTTTCTATTTTAAAATCTATAAATTTGATTTTTTTTTACTTTTATTTTTTGCTATTTTTAGATATATTTTAGACGCGGAAATAAACATAAATATTACGTTTACAAACTACCAGTAAATTCACGGACCGATTCTGTTTACGAATATGCGTATTTATTGTATAAAAAGACATTTTGCTTGCTTCGAAGAAAACTACTTTCCCATATCCCATATCAGTTTCTCTCACTCAAAATGTCCGTTTTATTCCGGAAACTGGCCAAACAAAATCGATAATTTATATCTATATCGGTTGATCTTAAAACGAATGTTCGATTTATTAAGTCGATTATAGTCGATAATATCGTAGAATCCCTAGAGGAGGATATCTCCAAAGTTCAATCAACAATCCTTAGATATGAAATAAATAATAAATGTCAACAAAATGTTTTCTATGATAAGCCAGAAATTATCAACGTATTTGTATCTATAAGTTTTACCGATAAGCTGGGTTCAGACATCCATTTCGCGCCATTATTCTCAACATCTCGTGGAGTCTCGCTCCATGGGGTCGAGATTTCTATCAAGAAAATAGGCAGAACTACAATGTATATTTGCTACAATTCCGATCGTTCGGAAACTGTATACAAGTGTTGAAAACCTAGATTTATTATAATGTTGCTTGATTTAAACGGAAGAAAATGTATAACTTCTAAGCATTTAATCTACTTACACATGTACATGTATTCTGGTTTTATCTTTGTTTTGTGTTCTATTTTAGTTTGTTTGTTTAGTATCTTTCCTTTTCGATCTTTTTTTCTTCAACCATAAAGCTTTAAGGATATCTGAGGATGTGCTCAGTACTGAAGGAACGCCACATTTTTGTTTGAATAAAAATAACGTTGGACCGTATAAAAATAAAACAATTTAAAATACCTTAGAAGAAAAACATTGTTTCATAAATGATGAATATAACAATATAATGAACAATAAACAATTTATTTAATGAAGCATTTTCATTCAATCAAAACTCGTTCGCTGTCCCAGTATTCGGCACTATGATTATTTTCAAGTCTTATTATTATTATTATTATTATTATGATGATGATGATGATCATCATCATCATCATCATCATCATTGCCATTTTACATGTACATGCTGGTTTGTAAGTGACCGAAAATCAGAAATTAATGTTGTTTAAAAATATATATATTGGGAAAACAGCGAATTAAATAATTCAAAACAATATAGGAATTATACAAATACAAATACAAGACATTTATATAGCGCAAAAATGTATTAAATATTCGATTGCGCTGTACATTATTAAGACTATATACACATATGCTTGATCAAGACACTCCCAAACCCAGTCTCGATGGCACAGCCAATCTACAACTCTAGTTGAAAAACAGTCCAAACAAGTATGTTTTAAGTTTGGCCTTAAACTGATTTTCATTGGTAATGTCCTTCAGATAGTCTGGCAATGAATTCCACCATTTAGGTCCCACAATGGCCAAGGATCTATCAGCAAGTTTTGAATTTGTTGATGGTATATCAAACCGGATGTGGCTAGATGATGAGGATCTCAGTCTTTTCCTGTACTGACTCTGGCATTTAGTGAACAATTTACGAAGATACAATGGAGCGGTGCCATTTGCAACACG